AGGTCTTGGAAGTGTGATTATATCCCAAATGATTTTACTGTCTTCATGCAATCACGGGTTGGTGCTTAGCAGATCAGAAATCCATTCATTATGACAAATGCGCTCAGAATCCCTGAACAGTTAACAGCCTTGAGCACTGACAAACCATGTAATTGAGTTTGTTCTTGTTGTTCCACTGCTGCCACAAGCAGGAAGAACTGTGACATTCTCCGGTCACACGGTTCCCGCCATTTCATGATCCACCAAAATCCACAAGATGTTTTTTCAAATACACATGCTGGGTACATCTGGATAATTACTATACATGTTCTAAACAAGGGGCCAACTGCGTTGTGGCTTGTGTTTTCAGAGCTTGGGATCTTGGGGCCCAGGTTGACCTGCTGCATGTCGGGCTTCCTCACGCACCTGGCTCATCGGAGCCTGCCTGCATTCTACTTGTAGAACCTTCCTGGTTGAAGTGAGCTGGGAAGAACGGATGATTGACGAAAGAAGATCGACTCTTGACGAGAGAAGAGGGCACTTGCGAGCCGAGGGTCTTGAGTTGGTCGGCGCTTGATTTGGATGAGAATATTTCTCAATGGGCATAAACTGAAGTAGCTTGTCAAGATTCAATGTGAGCAGAATGTCACCACCCTGGATCCCCAGACTCCTTCTCAGGGAGAGGATTGCTTTGATGCTGCTGCCAAAAGCTTTGCTGTACATAGCCTTTGCCTCATCGAATTTAAGCTATTCTTGCTGATGAAGGGAGAAGTCCTGCACCTCCTCAAATGAGTCTAGCCTTGCTATTTGCAATCTTTGCTGTGTTTGAGGTGGCGCAGGCAGGATTTCTTTCTTCAGTATCAAGGCAAGTCCTTGGCCAAGGTGGCCAACTAGAAGCCGCAGGTCAGGTGCAGGTCAATGCCAAAAAAAACCGCCCGTCATCGCCCGTCCAGAAAAGGTGCAACAGCGTAACCAGACAAGACCTCACCAAAAGTAAAGGAACCATGTAACAACCTGCAACTCATTTGAAGGATAAGATGATAAGATGATCTAAGATAAGACTATAAGACTTGGGGTCTCTGTAGCTTCAATCTGCAGGAGCTTGAAGAAGCACCCTCCCCCATGTTTGGATGCAAAAGCATGCAAAAGCGACGCGGCAGAGTCAGAATCACCGGCTTAGCCTTGACTTGGTCATGCCATTTTCTGCTCAAGAGAAAAAGACTAGGGATCAGACGAGGAAGAATCCCAGCTTTCAAATCCTGCCAGAGCACGTGAGAGCCCTGCACTCTGCAGAAGATGCGTCACCTCAAAGCCGGGCCACTCAGATGAGTTTCTTTTTCTGGCGCTTCACTGAAGCGACTGAAGTCAGGGATTAAACACAAGTGAACAGATTTGTGATTCGTGATTTGGTGAAATGCATCGCCGGATGCCACAACCTTGTTTTCATGCTTGCTTGACACTTGCCGACATAGACCAACGGCTGCGTGGTGTTAATATTTTATATGGTACTGACCCATAGATTGCATGTCCATCAACCGGATTTCCTCTTCCTTCGTCCTTTTCCAAACAGCAAGATCACTCGGAATGGCCTCACAGGGAGACCCCCAGAATCTCCCCAGACAGATGGGAATACGACCAGCAGATGAGGAGCAGTTGGAGGATTCTGATTTTGGAACATGAGCAGTTTGATTTGGGAGGTGCTTGTGGGGTTCCTCCATGCGCTGGCGGAGCACGTCCCACAGCAAGTGGCCCTAGCAGCTGGGAGCCAAGGTGATAGCCAGGCTGGGGTAGATGCCAGGGAGTGAGGGTAAGGGTATGTCATTAAGCCTCGTGGTCCGAGGCTTTCTCGCTGGGTTTGTGGGAACCAACCTTGAACTCAAAACGATCAGCTCGATAAATACTGGCGTCATAAGTCATAAGATTTCATAAGATAATACATCATACACCGGCCACTGCGGAGTCAACCTCTGGCAACCTCTGGTACTTGGGTTTTCCTAGCAACGGCTTTGGGTTCCTGGTAAGAATTGCATCATATCGATGTGGTTGTTTACCCCGTTAATTTACCACTCCCGAAGAACAATGGTGACATATTCCCCGCACTAGGGAATCGCTACTAGGAGCAAAGGGCATCCCTACTAGGAACAAGTGGCTCCTGGCATCGCCACTAGGAGCATTCTTACTACTAGGAACAAGAGGACGCTACGAACGGAGCTTTGCCAGGTCAGCATCACCTGGCTCACCAACGACACTCGGGACGACCCGAGCTCGTGCGACGAGGCGGCCGTCGCCTGGGTCAGTGGGCCGTTGACCGGGAACGAGGAGCCGAACGAGGGCAACGGCAGCATCCCAGAGTGGCGAATTGTGGGAAGCTGCTTGAGACTTGGCGTGGTGATGACATGGATGATATGGTCTTATATTTGGTATTATGAAAACAGAGGAAGAGGGTGATCTGAGAACACATCGATGCAGGCTTGCAGAAACAGGATTGGCAGTTCTAGAATACTCAGTGGGAAGGAACATGTCCCTGCATACCCATCAATCAAGGGACCACTAGCGCCAAAGGTCCTTTCCAGATGGAGTCTAAGGCAACCGTTCTTGCAGGATACTTGCTGCTGGAACCCCGAGCACACTTAGTGACCTTAGTGATACATATTTAGTGCGTATCCATTTATATACTGTAATGATTGTTGTGTCACGTCCAATTGACAGGTTGCTCCTTTCCTGTTCCATTGATCGGTTTTTCCTCCACTCAACACTCTCCTCAGTATACGGTTGGACCGGACGGTCCAAGCGCTGAACGGCCGCGCTGAGGAGATATTCCTTTGGTGCCGCTCCGGAGCTGTATGGGAATTACACCAGCGGACGCATCCATCGCGTGGTCGCGCAAGGGCTGGTGGCCAATAGCCATTGGCTTCAATAGGGCTGACCCCGACACGTGGGGTGCTTTTTCCAGGAACCCCTATTTTTCCGGGATTTTTTTTCAGATTTTTTCCGGGAATCATTTTCGCATTTTTTTTCCCTACTGCTTTTGCTTTTTGTGTTTGCTTTTGCTTCTGCTTTTGCTTTTTGCTTTGCTTTCGCTTCTGCTTTTTGCTTTTGGCCTTTGCTTCTGCATTTGCTTTTGCTTTTTGCTTTTGTTTTTTGCTTTTCCTTCTGCTTTGGCTTTGCTTTTTGCTTCTGCCTTTGCTTTTGCTTCTGCTTTTGCTTCTGCTGACTATCTTCTTTGCATTGACACTGCCACAAAGTTGGATGATAAGACCTTCACCTTGAGCTTTGACACCCAATTACACCAATCAAGAAACGAAGCAGCCCAGCGCTGTCTATATTTGATTTGCATTGCGGGGGAGGCGCTGCGCCCTCCCCCCCCCCCCCCCCTCCCGCTTTTCTTTTTTTAAATAGTTGCCACTACCGTCCACCACCCCTACTATTTCCAATACCTCTATCACTCGAACCACCCCGCTACGAGTCTTGCCACAGTTACCACAACAACTATTTTCTTTGCGTTGACACTGCCACAAAGGTGGACTTCTACTTTGCTTAGCCCAAAGAACCCCGAAACCACTGAAACCCAAAGACAACCGCAGAAAAGTCTCTATTATAGTTCCTCTCTCCTCCTACTTCTCCTTCGTTTAAGTGGGATGCCTTTTCCGGAAGAACGCCTAAAGAAACCCTAAAGACAAGAAACCGAGCCCAAAGAAACCCGAAACCAGTGAAGCTAAAGACAACCGCAAAGACGTCCCTAGTAAGTGGAATACCTTTTCTGTTCCCTCCCTTTGTCACTGTCACGCTGGCTTTGGTGCTTCGTCCCCTGCCCTTTCTGCTGCTCCTAGTTCTTGTAAAGCACTCCCAGCAGAAGCAAAAGCAAAAACAGTAGGAGAAAAAACCGTGAAAAACATTACCGGAAAAAATCTGAAAAAAACCCGGAAAAAATATAAATCCCTTTTTCCACTGGGAGACCAGTGGTCTACCAATTGGTGATCAACCTGCAAAAGGGGTTTGGTTGGGCAGTTTCTTTAGGAAGAATTGTAGTTGACATTCATCATCTAATCAAGAAAAGTCTGTCGTCTGGGTGTTTGAGTTATGGGGGTTCTTCCGACGGCAGGTGTTGGTATTTTGTCATCCAAATTAAATCACGGATATCCCCAATTCCCGTACATTATTATTGTGGAAAACAGACTGATCAAGATTTGGATCCATCTCATCCAGCTCGATCTTCAGTCCCGCATCACACCAGCTCTGTCTTTGCATTTCCTCCCTCATTTCGCATCATCTCATTCCTCTGGATCCATCAGCATTGGGCGACTGTCTCTGTCTGCCCTGTCTGCCCCATCTAGGCGAGTACAAGTACACCTTGCGCGGCGACCCGGCCACGGTGAAGCGCCGCTTCCGCACACTTCCCTCCTCGGCAGCCCCAGAGCCGCCAGCCGCGGGCGCGGTGACGGATGCACGCTTCCCCTTCGCGCTGGGAGTCATTGGAGATCTGGGGCAGACGGCAGATTCCCAGGATACCATCCGTATCCTGGGCAAGAAAGAACCGAAAGAGGTGAGAGCGGACAATTATTCTTAACAGTATCATTGAATGGTTTGTAACATTTCTTTGGCTGTAGCAAACTGATGACTTCTCCACTTTTGTTATCTTTGTTGCTTTGCTTTTCAGCTCAGATGCGTTTGGTAGACGGAACATCAAACCAGTATGAATTTCCTGCCGGTTGACATTCTGAAGGGAGAGGGCGGGAGCAGTTCTTGACACCTCCACCCCTCGAGTACTGGGGCTCCATTCCCTTTGTCGCGACCTCAGAGAATAGGATACAAGTCAAATGGACCGATTGCGTTGAATGACTGGTTTTGGCTTGTAGTCACTATGTAGTCAAACTAGTGACTGCGGCTAGCTGTTTTGTGGTTCCAACCCCTCCTCCGTGGCGGCCATGGTTCACCCCCATCGCTCCAACTGCCCCAATCGCCATCGCCCAGGGCACCTGGATGCGGATCCATTGATCCGCCTGGTCTTGCACGCGGGCGACATGTCCTACGCCGACACGGACCAGAAACGATGGGACAGCTATGGGCTCACCGTGGAGCCCTTGGCCTCACATTTGCAGTGGATGCTTGGGCTGGGGCTGGGGAGCTGTGTGGGGAGGGGGCGACGAACACGAGCGTGCTAGCGGCTGCTCAGATGAGAACGATGAGTTTAGAGATGTAAGTACTTATGGGGTATGCCTCATCCGTAGGGCCGTAGGGCAAGTGATGGATGATGTGTGAGTAGATGCAAGCAGTCAGTGTTGTTGTTGTTGCTGCTGCTGTTGTGATTGTTTGTGAGGTTGTGCAAGAAAAGGACCTGTGAGGTTGTGCAAGATTCATGTACTTGCCAGGGAACCTCCCTTTGAGTCTTTGAGTGCCTTCTTGAGAATCGTTCAGAGAGAATTACCAATTAGAACAAAGGCCTCCTTTCCCAAGTTTTCATAGGCGGGAGGGTCTCAACGCGTTTGAGTACCGCAGCTTTTGTTCCAGGGTATCATTGCGTTTTTGCAAAGTGAAGGAACCAATCAGGAGAAGACCAAACAAGGAGATGCCCTTGATTGCCAGGAAAGTGACAGAAGTCACAGCTTCACTTTGTTCAATCATGGAAGTAAATGCACACCAAAAAGGGGGGGCCTTTTGAAGGAGAACGATCTAATGTCTGAGGATGGTTTGCCCAGGGAACCATGAGATTGAAAGCGACTACTACACGGGAGATAATTTTGTCGCTTATGAAGCTCGATTTGCGATGCCTGCAGTTCAGCAGCCGAAGACCTCCCCTTCGCAGGAACAGATGGGTTGCAAGCATCCATATCCTACCACACCACACTCAGGAGATATGCGACATGTGCTGCCTGCCATGCGCCATCATGTGTTTTTGAAGTTGGGTTCCTTTGAGACTCATTGTTATTGACATGTATCGACTATTTGACTAGTTGTCATTGCTATAATCCTCGGGCTCACAAGCAGGTCCAGCCCGACCTTTGAGAATGGTTTGGGTGGTTTGGTCTGAGTCTGTGTATTCAGGTGAAGTTAGCTCGCTCCAGTTGCCGTAACATTTATAACTCTTTTTTCTTATACACTCTTTCCTTGGCGGGGTATCTTTTGTTCAACAAGAGACAAGAGAAACAAATCACCCGGAGGCATTGCCCACAGACACCGTCTTCGCAGTCCTCAAACGCAGATCGAACGGGCCAGCGGGCAGGTAGTAGGGTTCTGGCCTTTTCTTGTCCATCAACACTAAGCCTGAAAAGAGATCCTTGTGAACAGATACATGTTTCCTGCTACCCACCGATTCGAGGTGTACGCTAGTTTTCAGCCCTGCCATGCCCATGTGGGTTACTTGTTCCAGTAGCTCGACTGGTTGGGCTTGCCAGGAAGAGATTGCACCCCCTCAGCCTTCACTGGCCACTACGACTGGGGGAATTCCTTCTATGCCTTTGATGCCGGGCCGGCGCGCGTGATCTCTCTGAACAGCTACACCTACACCCATCCCTCCTCCGAACAATACAACTGGTTGAAAGAAGAGCTAGAGGCCGATCCGCAATTCTGATGGTCAATCGCTCCCGACATAAGCACAGGGACATTGACCTTGAAAGCTACCCTAGATCCAGCTGTTTGTCCTGCACAAATCAGCTCTCGTGTTTGGCTTGCCATGTTCCAGACTTTCGATATGGATGATCCCTAGGGATGAACATACCCTTTGAGAAGGTGATTGGAGACACTGTTAATGTTATGTAGGTTTGGAGGGTCCAAGTACCTTCTGAGAAGGTACTTGGATCCCTAAGGGATTCTATTCAGAGAGATTCAGAAAGATGTCTTGCACTGCTGAAGGCCTTGGCACACAGAAGGTCACAGACTCCCTGGCTCATCATCATGATGCACTGCCCATTCTACAACTCCAATGCTGCCCACCAAGCAGAAGGGCAAGCCAGTTTGATGAGGGATTTCCATGGCTTTGAGGACCTCTTCTACAAACACAAGGTCTGCCATGGTCACTTCACGCTGTTCCAAAAACACGTGTCATGTTCTGATGTTGAATCAGTATTCTTAAAATACTCATCAACTGTTTGTTTTACGCCACCGACCCTCCGAAGAGGGCTTTCCCCAGGCAGCGGTGGTGATCAATGGGCATGTCCATGCCTATGAGCGAACACATCCTGTCTACCAGAATGCCTCCCAAGACGGGGCGCCCACCTACTTATGTGTCGGCGACGGAGGGAATCGCGAAGGTCATGCCAAAACTTATTTGGAGCAGCCTCAATGGTCAGCCTTTCGAGATGGCTTGTCATTTGGACATGGCCGACTGGTGATTGAGAACATCAGCCACATGCGTTGGGAATGGTTTCGTAACGACCCAACCCAGTCGGATCTTGTAGACCAAGCGAATGCCATCCGCCGTGCCCGGCAGTTGGCTAATGCAGGTGCAAGCACGGTGACCGTTGAGTCAGGGTGGTATCAGCCCTTGAAAGCAAGACCAGTTGATGATTCAGTCTGGATTCTTAACCCTTACAAGCACCAAGAACCAGGACCACCTCAAAGGTCTCCAATGAATACCAGCCTAGTGATCATTGGAGTCGTCTCTGCTGTTGCTGTGGCTTTGGTCTCCGCCATTGCTGTTGTGCATCGCTGCCGACGTCGACGTGCCGAACCCCACGCCGAATGTGTAGAATCAAGCGCTGAGATGGGAAGTGCTCGATGAAGCGGGAAGGCGGCTGGCCAACAGACATCCTCTCAGTTCAAAGAATTGGAGAGATGAAATTTGATGGCGTTATATTATGTTATTTTTTTTGCCGAAGTAGACTTCAACAATCTTCAGCACATAGATCCCCAATCAATACATGACATCATGAGTGGTAATAGGCCCGTGTTCAACGTTCAGGGTTCAGATTTTTGCAGTATGGATGGATTTCCTTCAAGCTTCAAGGTAGTTTGAGAGGAAGTAGAGTAGAGAGAAACAAGATTGTAACAAAGAAACTACTGACACCCAAGAGACACATGTGTCATCCTCTGTTTGCAGAGATGCTCAAAAAAGCCAGCTTGATCCCCAGAGGCTCAAGGCCTCTGATGTGAATAGTGTCTCCCAGAGCTGCGAATGCAATGTGTTGGCAAGCTCAGGTTGAGAGCGAGGTATTCCCTTAGCTTGTAGGACAACAGGCACTCATCACTCCCAGTGTACGTGATCAACGGATCAGCCACTGGGATGCTTGGGTGAGGAGTCCCGTCACTCAGTGTGATCAAACAGTAGAATCCTCATGCAGTCGCGGGTCGAGAGGATGAAGAGTTTGCCTCAAAGGGGCCACCATGCGCTAAAACCCATGGGTTGGTGGACTGGATTTCCCTTTAACTTCTAAGCAGTTCTTGCATTAGCTAGCTGCTAGGACATGCAATGTTTTGCTTCTGTCTGATGCTTTCCCACCAAGTCGCTGCTGCAGTTCTATTCCACCAAGTTACGTCCGACAAGCATCAGCGCGCATCTCTTGTGGATTCTTGTAAGTGCTAGCGGATAAGATCTAGGATGTGTTCGCAGAAGACGTTCGTTGCAACCTCAATCTCTCCTCGCGAGTGTCTTGTGACGCCCGAATGTGAAGCTCTACTCTTGGTCAGTCAGGATGGTCGCTGGGTTGCAAAAGTGGCATGTTCAGAGGGAGGTTCAGTTGATGTCATCCAGTGCTATGACCCCACACCGCAACACAAATGCCTAATGGACCACTCTTCCTTAAGATGCCGGATGCCTGTTTCATAATTCCTGGAGGTGTGTTACCAAAGCTGGGATGTTGGAGGTGGTGTGGCTAGCTCAGCGGGAATTGCTGAGATGAATTGCTGAGATGAGTGATCTTCCGGGGATGAGCTGTGGTGCGCAGCACACCCGCCTAGGGTAAAGAAGTGGAATCAAAAACAACCAGTTTGACTCAATGGTTTGCTTGAGAGGGCTTTCTTGGGCAAAGAGTTGTGGAGCAATCCAGCATGCCTCAAGCAAAGTGGGATCGCAAGGGGACCCAGAGGATCTCCTGCAAGTTGCATCCTTTGACACAATGAACAGACTATCCCCAAACCAGCATAGCCACTGACTAAATGCCATACTTGGGAACATTTCATACAATCATTCATGCCATATTGAATATATTCGCAGGAACTGTGAACTCAAGGCTTAAGGGTTGCTTGCTTCCAGGAGCTAGAGCATTAATATGGAAAAAGAGGGCTCACTTACGGGCGAGCTTATGAGTGATTCAATTTTGTTTGCAGTTTTGCCTCGACTCTATCTCATTGTTAGTAAAAATTGTGTTGGTGAAGCTAGCTAGCTGTCAATACCTTGGGTAAATACCCTTGCTTGCCATGTATCACCCATTGTTTGAGGTTGTATTAAATTCAGTCCTGACAACACTACACATACAAAGGGCTACGGTGCTACTAGTACTGAAGTCTTCAGTAGGATTTTATCCCTCCAGCTCCAGTAAGGATGGGTGTTTTGGCGTTGCTGGCCTTGATCCTCTCAATGCTGCAGATGAATGAGGGAACTGTCACTGTGACTGGGTGTTGCTTCAGGATTTGTGCACCTCGTGCAAGACCAGGGAGTACAACCCCCGCTCTCAAATTGCCATTTGTAGGACTTTTGATCTGGCTCACACGAGGTCTTCACGAGCCCCCAAACTTGATTTCTTATTCTAAAGATGAAGTCCTTTATGGAGACCTCACGATGTATGGATACGATCATGTGTGTTGGTTTAGGCCTAAGCTCCAGCTAGGAAACCTCGACCTTCACTGCGACCTCGTCATCGTCGACGTCTGAGAGCACCACGAGTACCACGAGTACCACCAGCACCACCAGCTCAGCAACTGGAACCAACACCACCTCATCTACTGCGACAACATCCTCCACAACACATACCTTCACGACCAGTACGACTGCAACGAGCTCTTTGACCAGCAGCACCAGCAGCACACAAACCTCGACCACCACCACAGTGAGCTCAAGCACCTTCACGACCACGTCTTTGGCACCTGTACTGCCTCGCTTGACATTGATTCTGGAGTTCGCGCCTGACACTGCGGCTGCCAACCAGACCTGTGACACCTCGATCTGCAGTGAAGTGCAGGTCCCTGCAGGTGTGGAGGTGATGAACTTTCGGCTCCAAGCTGACAGCTTCTTTGCTCATATGGCTGAAAATGGCTTGGGCTTGGTCGCCACGAGAAGTAGGATATGGATGGATATGGATACGTACTTTAGAGTTTCAGTGTGTTGAGAAAATATTGTTGTGCAATAGTTGTGCCACTCGCCCCCTTGTCAAACACTTGTGAATATCCTTGCTGCAATCAATTAATCTTCATTCTCCCTGTTCAATCCATTTTATCCTTTTTCACTCCAAGGCTACACCTGGGGTACTGCACCCCATCTCCTTTTGGGCCAAGCCACTCCTGCCTTGGACGCCCAAGCTGCTCGCCGCGGCGACTGTAGCAGCGCTGCGACCGCGGCGGTGGGCCGCGTGGCAGAGCCCTGGCCCAGCGGCGCAGTGGCCGTGGCAGCTGGGGCAGATCTGGTGCCAGAGGCGCGGGGCTCCGTGAATTTTCGGCTCCAGGATCACATCGGCAAAACATGAAGATCTACAATGATCAGAGAGAGATCCAACAAGAAAACGGAGCAGTGTCACGGTGTGTCCAATTTTTTCGGAGTAGGGTGGCTATGGCTGTCCCATTGTCCAGACAGCCTCTTTTTCTTCGCTTGGAAGAGTGGCTTAAGTATGTTTTGATAGTTTTTTGTAAAGTTGAATTACAGTAAAAACATGTAAAACCACATTTTTGATCATTGTCATTCTTTTTTTAAATCAAGATTCAAGATCTAAGATCATTGTCACGAAAGCTAGCGAAGCTAGCTGGAGTTACTCTTGCGATAGCAAGGTTTCTTTCGACCGGGTGCAAATCCTAACCCCTGATTTTTCAGGTCGAAGACCCCCCCCCCTTGTCTTCCTCCCATCTTCCCTCCCTCCCTCCTCCCTCTTCGCAAGTTCGACTCCGTCCTGTCGTCGCTCTTTGGCATGCGGTTAGCGTTGCGTATCTTGCGGCCGCACTCGCTCACTCTCACTCTCACTCTCTCACTGTCTCACTGTCTCACTGTCTCTCTCATCTCTCTCATCTCTCTCATCTCTTTCTCATCTCTCTCATCTCTCTCTCCTCTCTCTCTCTCTCTCCTCTCTGTCTCTCGTCTTTCCGTCTCTCTTCTCTCTCTTCTCTCGCAGGAGGATCCGGGCAAAGAGCCACATATAAAGGACTCTTCACCCCTGCCTCCAAAAAGAGCGCCGTGTTTTTTCCTACCTCGCTGCCCTCCACTTTCCCATTCTGGAGCGCTAGCTTTCGCCCCCCCCCTTGGCCTCAAGTTTGATCATTTTTGTGTGTTTCCGGTGAACAGCTCCCAGAGAGGCACCGCTGGTCTTTCGCGATGGGGGTGCCTTCGCACTGTGCTATGCCAAGAATGGAGACTTCGGGGTCATCGGCGAGGTGGACTTGGTGCCTGTGACGGTTTTGGTCTTAGGCAGGTCCAGCACCAAAATCGATTGGAATCGATGGGATGGTTGTAGCATGTTGTAGCCATGTGGCAGAAACGGTCAAGCCAAAACGTCCCTGCCAATCTTGGGCCCTCACGAAAGTTGTGCTGAGTCTTTTTTGGGGGTGTAAGGAGGGAGTCCCCAGTGTGCAGGTGCCTATGACTGGGATTGCGCTGATCCCTCATCCCCTTGCTTGCCGAATCGTGTACAGTATTGCTACGTACTTCCAGGTGCATATAGCCCGCCAGAGGCCTGCGAGGTGTCTTTCAACTGGGATGATCAGCCCATGGAAGTTCAAGGATTGTTAGGCACAGCCAGCGAAATGAAGATCTCCTGGTCCGCATCATGGCCGGTTACAGTGAGTGATGGGATCATTCTCTTGATGGAGCCTTTAAACTGCACGTCTCTACAGCGTCTTGCCGGCATGTCAAGCCCGCTATACCTTTCTGGTGGTGATATCGCAAGGGGCAGCAGAGGAGGTGGGAACCCACTTCAAATTTCTCATATTTGTGTTCTTTGTTCACCCCAATCACATCGGCACTAGCACGGAAGTATATGGAAGTGATCAGACATGATCAGACCATCAGCCAAGGCCAGCAGATTTCTTGTGTTTGGATGGTTTGCGCTGTGACCATGGGGATTATTTTGTTGATCTCAACGAGAATGGGTCCAGCTGGTTGCCACGTGCGCGTGTTTCGAGCATTGATGCTGACCTCGCCCACAGCATCACCTTGTGCCTTTGTCCCATGGGAAGCTGCTTGGAATCCAATTTCTTTACCCAGCAGGTGGGCATCGTCCACTTCTTTGCTGCCAGTCTTTGCCTGCCAAATCGAAGTGATGAGAGCTGTGTGGGCTCCTTCTCATCCATGGTGGCCTCCTATCCAATGAGGCGGGCGGGCTCAGGCTCCTTACAAAAACTGAAACTTGCTCGAGCGAAATCGGCAGGTGCCCTTTTTGGGGCGTCTTGAGTCTTGAGGCACTCGGTTTGGTTTGTTTGATGTCCTCTTTGTATACTGTTCATTCACCTATCGCTCGATCGATATTAGCATTTTTCTGACGTTATATTCTGTCAGTTTATTGAGTCTTATTGATCTATGACATTATGATGATCTATGTTTGTATCTCTAGTAATCTCTAGTTGTCTCTATTTGATCTGTGTTTG